CTCAAAGGTAGCAACAGCCATGCAACACAAAGACAGCTAGGCTGAGAGAGAGGTCCCCTGAAGTCAAGCCCTTCTATGACCCTTAATAAGTGGTTGCCCTTAGACAGGTCATTTAATCTCTGAGTTTCTTCATCCATAAAATAAAGCCAATAGTTCCCGCGCCTTCTTCTCTGGGTCTGTTTGAGGATTAAATGTAATAATAGTTGTGAGACCATGCATACCTGCTGCTGCTTTGGGCGCTGTCTTCTGCAGAGGGTCCTGTGCCTGGGAAATAGACCTCAGTCCCTATTTATTGAGATTCTTTAATCTCTCAAGAGGCTCTTCTTTTTACTGAAACATCTAGGATAGAGCTTCCTTCTGGAGGACCTTCCTAAACTGAGCAGTACTGTCCCTTCACACTTCTAGTGTCTCCACCAAGCCCAAGAAACAGAATTCTGAGTTTACCCGACGTGTTCCTGTGTGGGCTCCATAGCTACAATTTACTAAGGGGCATACATGGGATCATTGCATTAGTAAAATTCAATGCAATGTAATGCATTGTGGAGCCCTGTGAGTTTGGAGTGTATTACCATTATTTTAAATTTAATTTATTTGATGTGAAATTACATAATTTAATTGTAATTACTAACAACTAACTATCACGATTCCTGAAATTGTATCATTTGCCTTTTTTGAGCTAATGTGAATCAACTCCAGCACACCACTGGAGCTGATCTTCACTGATTTTGCATAGGTATCTAACATGTCACCCAGACATTCAGTGATCCTTCACACTTCAGAGAGATACAGGCCACAAACCTTCACCCACAGTTCAAATTCAACAAAGCTCTGAAGATGGTCACTGCAGACTTACAAACTTAAAATGGCAAAATTATATCACAAAGCCAGACTTCACCCCTCATGAAACGATTTATTCTTTTTAATACCATGTTTCTTTGCAAAAATATTAATGTATTTGACTATGGGGGGGGACTGAACTAGATCTCTACTGGGCATAAAAAAAACAGCTATGGATATTTTTACCTTTCTAAAATCTGAAAAAGTATCAATCTGACTTCTAATTGTTCCCAATGGTGTTGAATAAACACCTTTAAGATTATCACAGTCATCATCTTCCTAAAATATAAATATAGTCACAGTGTGCACCATCAGTCCCTCCTCTTGGCAGTTCCCACCTTGTCCTTTTTTATGAAACTGCTTCTAGGAGTCTCCCCAAGCACAAACAAAGATTGGCTGGGACCATGAGTCATCCCTCATGTATACCTTACAACTTTTGGGAAAGAATCAGAACCCAGACACTGCAAGGGTGTAGTTCATCTTCCTTACTGTATTACTATGTGAGCTTCTGGCCACTTCTCTTTAGGCTCATTTCTCATCTATGAAATGAAAATCCCCAAACCAGTAAGATTATAGTGAAGATAAAGCAAGTTCATGAAAATACTTAGGAAAGTGCTATGTACATGAAAAGGTTTTTACTCTCATCATTCTAAAATCTGAATGTGATTTTTATTTTTTTATTTCCACAGGAGGATCTGAGGGTTGATGTGCATAAAGTCCAGTGAGTTCCATCATATGCACCAAGACTATTTCACTTCAAGAGTCTTGGTTAGTTAGTGCAGTTGGGGGTTGGTCTATTTTGCAGTCCCAATAACTCCTAAGACCTGAGTGGATGGGTTTCTGTTCACTATAAAAAAGACTGAGGGGCCCACAGGGATGGAAAAAGGCACAAAATGATGTAAAAATAAGCTATTATATTATTAAAAAAAAAAAGAGTGTGGGGGGCACGAGTTTTCTCTGGTTTTTTTTTTTTGTGGTGTGTGTTTTTATGTTTATATAATTGTTTGGTTTACTGTTGTTATGGGTGGAGTAGGGGAGGTGGTATTTCTTACTTGCTTTTGCTGTAACTATTTTGCCTTTCAGTATATTAATCCACTACTGTCTCCAAACAAACATGCAAGCAAACAAAAGACTTGAGTGTGAAATCTCTGTAAACTCTTCTTCTATTTTAGGCCTAGACAGTTAGAGTGACTGGAAGCTTATTCATTTGGTATGGATGCCTGAACCATGTTTTTTACAGCTGGCATCTCTTTCCATTGGAAGAAGATAGTCTCAGCCAGCCCTAGGCCTAACAGGCAACAAAAAAAGCTGGAAAATAATTACATAACTGCATTAGACCTTTCCGTGAAAGTAGTTTTTGATGAGTTGCAGCAAAGGATGGGACAGTGTAAGAGTATTTGGCAGAGAGAAAGACTAAAACAAGCATACAAAAGCCACCATCTGAAAAAGAGAATTGGATTCCAAGGTGCAAAGGAAGAAAGTCTGACAGCAAACAAGATAATATCCGATGACTTGAAATACTATATACACATAATCTATCCCTTATTGCTGTCTTTAATATAAATGTGTATTATAAACAAAAAGAGAAATAGGACATGTTTGCTAGATAGCCCTTACCAATTCTTTGTGCTTCCTATTTATTTCAACATGAATTTAAAACTTGGATTTTGGGCACATAGCTGTTCAGATTTATCTGAAAACTATTGGTTTTGCCAATCACTGTAGCTAATGTTAAATAGAGCAAACAAAATTAAGTGCTCAACCTCACTGCAGACCACACAAACTGATTTATTTTTGGACAATTGAGATCTAAAGGCTCTTATAATTACTGAAAGGTAACATTCAAATAAGTAAAAAAGTCAAAGCTATAGAAAAATAAAAATTTAAATATGTATTATTAAAGAATTTACCAATTCATCATTTGAGAATTGTCAAACTGTCACCATTGGATCTTGGAAGATCACATTTGTGCAAGCTTCCTTATAAGTAAGATGCACTACAGTAGCAAAATTTGAAAGGCTTTACTTCTGACTGGACCTTCTGAATTTCAGTAAGCATGTGTTCTAATCAAGGTAGGCTTTTCATATCTACAAGACTAATTTCACTCCATGGATAGGAGGTAGTCAGGAGTAAAATGTGAGTTGCCCAAATAAATTAGTGTAACACCTAAACCCTCTGCCTTTATTTTCATCCTATCCATTTCTATCTCTATCATCTGCAAATAATTCATACAAATCAGCAAAATAAAAACAAATATGTCAATCAAGAAATGAGCAAGAGCACTAAATAGACACTTTTCCAAAAAAGACATAGAGATAGCCAGTAAGCACATGAAAATATGCTCATCAGGGTCTCCCTGGTGGTTCCAGGGGTTAAACACAGCCCTGTGAAACTATCCACAGCCACTGCAGCCCGAGTTCCCTCCCAGCCAGGGAGTTAATCCACATGGCAAAGTTGACCTCTCCTGTCACTCCTGTTGCTCCCCTCAGCAGTGTACTTCATCAATCTGCCTGTTCTTCTCCCCACTCTGTCTCTGGTGAATCCTCTCACTTTCCCTGCACCTATGGCCTGTACCCCAGTTCTGTATGTATAAATAAATATATTTTTAAAAAAATAAAGAAAAAGACCAGAAACAACAAGTGGTTGGCAAGGCTGTGAGAAAAGAAATTCTTGCACACTGTCAGTGGGACTGAAGCATGGTCCACTACCTATAGAAAATATATGGAGGTCTCTCAATATCATAAATATTAAAAATATGACCCATCTGAGAAATGCAAAAGCATTTAAATGCCTATATGCGTACCCATGCTTACTACAGCACTGTTTACAATAGTCAAGTTATGGGAAAAACCTGATTATCCAATGACAGTGAATTAGAAAGTTGTGGTATGAATAAAAAATGGAATATTTCTCAGCTATTAAAAAAAAGGGAAATTTTTCCATTTGCAACAATATGATTGGGAACTGGAGGAAATTATGGTATCAGAAGAAAGGAAAATATAGGATGATTGTATTCATATATGAAATACAGAGAAACAAAACAAAGGAAAAGATAAAACTAAATGACCCAAATCCAAGTAGAATTGAATCTACCACAGGGAACAGCTATGGTGTGGGGACCCAATGGATTATGGTGGAGAACTAAGGATGCCTTGTTTGTAGCTGAGGTATGTTAACACACATTTGAAGAAGGTAAACTTACAGCTGTGGATCACATGCATTGTGTTGCTCAACACAAAATTGTAATTCAGCACAAAATAAAATTATCCTAGTTATAAACACACATTTGAAGAAGGTAAACTCATGGCTGTAGATCACATGCTTTGTGTTACTCAACACAAAATTGTAATACAACAAAAAATAAAATTATCCTAGTTATAAAAAGATATTTATCTTTCTCATTATTAATCAATACAGTGATTATTTGACTTATCATTGTAAAGACTATGGCATTCCTAGCATCTTCTTGATGAGTAGATAAAAGGTCAATCAGACACAACAGTTCAGGACAAGCCAAAAAGATGATTGTCTTCATGGTGTCATTTGCAATGTTATTTTTAATTTTAAGAGAATTCTTGGGGGTGAAAGAATAAAGTTATTAAAGTGATAAGGATTTCAGTGTTAGACTTAGTTTTTATCCTACCTCAGGACAGATTTCCTCTCTTCTTTAGATTTTATTGCTTCCCTGTTTTAGTCATGCTTGTTACTGTATATAAGATAAAATTCAAATTGTATATGTTGACTTCATTCAGCCTCTTTCCTAACCTTCCTTTCCACTGTACTAAGAGTAAGATGGTTCATGGCCTGATGAAGCTGAAGGGAGTATATGTGTAAGTGACAGAGATTGGAACCAGAAAGATGAACTAAGAGGTTTAAGTAGTAGTCCTGGAGAGTAATAATACTGAGGGCCTCACCTAACCTACTCATCTGACATTTGAGTGAAGCAACTGTTCAAGGAAACAGTTGTAAGAATCAAACCTGGTCATACCATCAGCAAAGTTGGCTGTAATATTTTACTCTGCAGCTGGATCTGTCAATCAACTATCTTACATTGCAACCTGATGAAATTCTTTCACAGGTCTATCTCCTATTCTATTGAATGGTGTCAAGAAAAAAAAAAATGCTAGATTTCCACCGCCCTTCACTTAGCCACAACTACTTACTCAGTCAAGAGCCAGAAACCTTGAATATTCTCTCCAGAAGTCTCAGTTATGCGGCCTTTCAAATCTTCCATGGCAGTTTCAATAGCCCCTGGCTGTATAAGAAGAGGAAAAATACCTAGTTTAGAGGGGGTTAAACTGTCTTTTTTATTTATTAGTTTGTATATCCCCGCAGCTCCTCCAGAAAGCTGGTCAGAAAAGGTAAAGCCAAGCTGCATTCATATATTTGTTCTTGGCACTGCCTGTTATAGCCTAAGTCTTGAATTCTGGTATTTACTGAGCTGCTTTTTTGGGTGGGACAAAAGTGGCACAAGTATGCCATTTTTCTAATCTCACTGTTACTTTTTCATAGAAATAAAGAGACAACTATTTTCAGAGGACCAATTTTTTTGACCAAAGGGAATTCAAAGAATTTAACAATCTATACATGATTAAGTCCAATCTTCCACTCTTCAAAGAGCACATGACATTAAACATAAAAAAGAAATTCTTTCAATGTTCTCATCATAAATTTCAGCTAATCCAGAAATAAACTTTTTGTCATCTCACTTTCTTTCTTCAGCCCTGAGTAGATCTTCCTACTTATGGGTCTTCCTCTGGTAGATTAACTTTAGTTCTAATAAGAAATACATAGGCTGGGCCCTCCCTGGTGGCGCAGTGGGTTAAAGCACAGCACTGAGAAGCTAAAGCCACTTCTGCATGAGTTTGATCCCTGTCTACCCTAGAGCTGACCCACATGGTGCGGCAGACCTCTCCTGGCCCGCCCACTGCTCCCCTCAGCAGCGTGCTTTGTCGATCTGCCTGTTCTGCTCCCCACTCTGTCTCTGCTGAATCCTCTCGCTGCCCCTGAGCCTCTGGCCTGTACCCCAGTTCTGTATGCACAAATAAATAAATCTTAAAAAATAAATAAATTAATTAATTAATCTTTAAAAAAATACATAGTCTAACTCAGTAATTCTTAAACTTTATTGCTTATCAAATTAACTGAAAGGCAGATTTCTGGGCACTGTAGCCAGAATTTCTGATTCAGCAGGTGTGGGTTAGGATTGAGAATTTGTATTTTTAACAAGTTCTCACATCACAGTGTTGGAATGAAAACCATTGTTAAAAGTAATCATTCCCAACCTTGATTTCTTGTCAAAATCACTAGCAGAGGTTTAAAAATACTCTGATACTGAGGCTACAGACAAAATCATTTATGTGAGAAATTCAGTGAATGGAACTCACATATCAGTATATCAGGACTTTTTAAAGGGTCCCAAATGACTCCAATGTGTAACAAAATTTGAAAACCACTAGAACTCAGAGCTTATTCAATCTAGACCATTTCATGTATAGGTATCAAAACAGGGTCTATTATGAAAAAACATTTTCCAAGTTCATTCAAATAAGAAGTGGCAAAGTCAGAGAACCCAGATCTTATAATTCTTTATTTCAAAACTTTAAGCTGCCCTCATCCTCAACCTTATGCAACTAACCATTAGGTTGCAAAATCTGGTACCTCCTCTTTATAGTCCTGCTTTGTTGCCAGATATTAACATTCTTAATTCTTCCACTCTGAGATCCTTGTCTCACTGAAGGAAATAAGGATGTTATTTTCCTCCCAAAGATGGTATGGTGATAAGATTTGGGTTTGTTTATTTTTTCAATCTATCTTAAAAGGGTTTAAGCATTTTGGCCAGAGTGCATTGGTTAAGAAAAGTCCTATATGTGAATCCATGCATGAAAAACAGGAAAAGAAAGGAGCTGTATCAGTGGAGGGGGAGTAAACAATACGGACCTTCCCCTACATAGGTCTCCCCACATCCTGTGATACACTCTACACAAACCCAGTTCTAGAAAATGGACATGACAAACCCAGAACAGAGTTGAGTGACATGGTTCATATTCCAGATCTATCATGAGTTAATGCTGCAAACTTTAGTCAATTACTTTACTTCACCATTTCTTCATCTGAGTACTCATGTAAGTAATTGAACCAAAGTTTTCTAAGTCAAGTTGATGGTCTAAAGCCTCTAGAAATCTTTAAGAAAAATATGATCACAGCTCCTAAACACCAAACAAGTCAGATTTTATTATTTTAACACATTTCTTGCCGAATCAGACTGTTATTCAATAGACTGCATGATTTCTCACTTTATTATTATCTTTCAGTGCTAGTGAAAAGATTATCAGCGGCATAACATGTCATCCCAGCTGACTGAAACCTGAATGTTATAAAATCAATAAGGTATAGGACAGTGATCAAATATGTCTTGAGCTCTCACTAGCAAAGGAGATCCTGCTGGCAGGACTAACCTACCCAGAGGAGGTTCCCTGTGGTTCCATAACAATCCTCTCTCCCTCCATCCTCAGTTCATGTCCTGTCACCTGACTCCAACAACTCCTCTGGTAAAAGTTTTTCAGAAACTGCTAATTTTTTTAATGACTCATCATGAGTATTTTTCCTGTCTCCTTTCCTGTATTCACATAATTTCTGCCTCAGCTAATATAACACAGTAGTGAAACTAATACTTTTAGAAGAAAAAAAATTTTAAGTGAAATTGGAGAATAGTAAAATAATCCTAAAATAACCATTTTTCTGAATGCTTTTATGCCAGGCATTTTGCCAAAAATATTTGAAGCAAAATAGAGGATTTTTTCAAAAATGTGTCTTCTCCATGAAAAGCAATTGGCAAAATCTATTAAATTGATCTACCTCTTGAATCCCACATTATGCTGCTGTGATTATTCTATAGATACACCTGCATATGTGCAAAATGACATGTGTATGTGTTTTTGCAGCTTTCTTTGTGGAAATAACCCAAATATATATCAATAATAGATTAGTTAGATATATTTTGGGCATATTCATAAAATGGAATATGATAAAGATATCGAAAAGATGAGGACATTTTTACTAATATGGAAACATTTTTAAAATATATAAAGTGAGGGCCCTCCCTGGTGGCACAGCGGGTTAAAGCACAGCACTGAGAATCTGAAGCCACTTCCACATGAGTTCGATTCCCGCCTGCCCCGGAGGTGACCACATGGCGTGGCAGACCTCTCCTGACGCGCCCACTGCTCCCCTTAGCAGTGTACTTCGTCGATCTGTCTGTTCTGCTCCCTGCTCTGTTCCTGGTGAATCCTCTCACCTTCCACATCTCTGGCCTGTGTCCCAGTTCTGTATGAATAAATAAATAAATCTTTAAAAAAATATATCAAGTGAAAGAAAACTATTCAAAATGTAATCATGACACCCTTTATGTAAAAAGAAAGATGATAAAAAAAACATAACTGTAAGAAAAAAAAAACAAACAAATAGAAACATACTTGTGTTTGATTATATATTCCTGAAGGATAGGCTATATAGAAACGAGAGAAGGCTATCTTGAAACTGATCACAGTGATTCCCTGTTGGTTGGGAACTTGATGGATAAGCATTGAAGATGGAGATTTTTACTATCCCTTTAAAACAAAGAGTGCTGAAAATAAAATTATTCTTCTCAGAATGGTTTGGAAGTCTCTGGAGCTCTGTAAATGACCTCACCATCTATGGTTACCAAATACTTTTGCTTTCAATAGAAACATTGATCATGCCTTATGGAATAGTCATTCACTGTACTCCTGGAAAGCTTTTACTCTCCTCTGTTTGTTCTTATCAGTTACTATAATACATTCAGTCATTTCGTGTTGGAAATAAAATAAAATGTATGAACCCTTTGACTTGTATGGTTTATAACTGACTTTCTGTTCAATGTGCAACTCAAGTCATCTTCTCATTTTGTAAAGCAGTGAACTGATCTGTCAGATGAATAAGATTAATGGTAGCAGTTGTTGGGAGATGGCAAAATACTTGGTTACAAGGACAATAAAAGACTTTCTGATCATTCTCATTGTTTACACTAAATCAAAAAGAGAAATTGTGGTACCAGAATTTGGGGATCAATAGCTACTGCATTGAGCAATTAGCTCTTAGATTCTTACAGCTTAAACTAATAGGGAAGTATGTATTTATTCATCATAGATAAACGAAAATGAGACAGTACTGACACTTTTTTTTTTTTAAGATTTATTTATACATACAGAACTGGAGTACAGGCCAGAGGTGCAGGAAAGTAAGAGGATTCACCAGAGACAGAGTGAGGAGCAGAACAGGCCGACTGACGGAGTACACTGCTGAGGGGAGCAGTGGTCAGGAGAGGTCCACCATGCCATGTGGATCACCTCCGGAACAGGTGGGGATGGAACTCATGCTGAAATGGCTTTAACTTCTTTAGTGCTGTGCTTTAACGCACTGTGCCACCAGGGAGGGCCTGGCACTTCTAATTTTTTTTTTTAAAGATTTATTTTATTTGTACATACAGAACTGGGGTACAGGCCAGAGGCTCAGGGGTGGCGAGAGGCTTCACCAGAGACAGAGTGGGGAGCAGAACAGGCAGATCGACGAAGTACACTGCTGAGGGGAGCAGCGGGCGGGTCAGGAGAGGTCTGCCACGCCATGTGGTCACCTCCGGGGCAGGCGGGAATCGAACTCATGCGGAAGTGGCTTTAGCTTTTCAGTGCAGTGCTTTAACCCGCTGCGCCACCAGGGAGGGCCGGCACTTCTAATTTTTAAGAAAAATCACTAGGCGGATATCCTTACTTGCAAGGCATTTTGAAGCTTTCTGTATCCATTCCTGGGTACAATCCTGAGTACATTCCTCCAATAGTCTAGCTCTGAATAGCTTCAGTCATAGCAAACCTACCAAGGACATTTCAAAGGCTTATGTATATATTTCCTCATTTCCATGAGTTAAACTAGCCTGATTACCACACAACCAACACTCATGTCTCCTGCTTATGATTTAATGGGTACTGAATTTCTTCACTAGATAATAAAGGGACCAGTATAGAACAGAATGTTCCTAGGGACTGAGACAAAATGTGATCTCTACTACAGGTGTCATCACGCCCACATAGGGATTGCTTTGTGGTATACACAAAAGGCAAGAATACCAGCATTACGTTTTATGTGACTTGTAAAATTCAAGCTAATTTGCCTTTCCCTGAAAGTGAAGGAAATGCACCTTATTTTATTATTTTTAAGTGTCTGCTCTCAGAAAGAAATATC